ACAAATAAGAACTGCATATATTCACCTCACATACACAGCATATTTGCAAGAATACTTAAAATTTTGCTTTTAGAAAATATTCAAGAAAACATACATTAATAAGTCACAATGTTGTGCAACAGGTTTCCTGAACTAAATTCTATCCATTTTCAATTTTGTATTCTGTGATAATCATCTAGTCTACCCTGAGTAACAAACACTTTTAAAAAATCAATGTTTTTATATTTTAATACATGTGAGATCATGCAGCACTTGTTTTTCTGTGCTTGACTTATTTCATTAACTATGAACCATCAATTCCATCCATGTCACAAACATAGGATTTCAGACAATTTTTAATGGTTAAATAATACACCACCATATATATATCAACTTTCATTTATTTACCCACTGACAAACACTGGTTTATTTCTGCTTTCTGGTTACTTTAACTAATGTTGCAAACAACATGAAAATGCAGGTATCTCTTTCAACACACCAGTTTTATCTCCTTTAGCTATATATTTCTATAATGTAATTGCTAGGTCATGGCAATTCTACTTTTAAGTTTTTGAGGAACCTATTATTTTTCCGTAATTGATCTAATTTACATTTCTTCCAATTGTGTACAAGATTTCTGTTTGTTAAAAAAATCCACTATCATGAACATTCATATTTTTATAAATGACCATCCTAGTAGGTATGAGGTGGTATCTCATTGTCGCTTCAATTTGGATTTCCTAGATGTTTATAGAGATTAAGAATTTTTTTCTTACGAATTTGAAGCTGGGTGTGGTGACACACACTTTTAATCCCAGCACTCAGTAGGCAGAGGCAGGAAGTTTGAAGCCAACTTGGTCTATAGAGCAAGTCCCAGAACATGTAGAGCTACACAGAGAAAACCTGCCTCGAAAAGCAAAACAAACAATCAAACAAATAAATACAATTTTTTTCTCAGATAAACTTGAAAGAGAGCAAGGAAAGGTGTATGTGAGAGTTTGCAAGGAGTAGCGGGAAGGGAAAAATACTTTAATTATAATCTCAGAATAATTATTAAAAAGTAAAAGATGAATTTTTTCTTATTTAGCCACTTTGCCATTTGTACTTTTTTTTCCTTGTGTTGGCCACAGCAGAGCCTCACTTTTCATCCTCAGAAACGTAGCATAGAGCTTACCAATTAGACTAGCCCCAGAGATCCTCCTATGTCTTCCTCTCTGCACTAGGATTTTTTATGTGTACACTACCACATACTGCATTTGTGTGTTGTCATTATTTTATCAAATCAGGTCCTTATGCTTGTTAGGCAAGCACTTCACCTATTGAACTATCTTCCTACCTGTATTACTTTATCAGAAGCAACTATTTAAGTCCTTTGTCTACTTCTTCAATCAGCTATCTGACTTACACAATTTATGTATTAACTCCTCAGAATGCAAATGCTTTCTTTCATTTCAAATTATACCTTTTCATGTGCAGAGAGCTCTTAAGTTTGGTATAATCCCATTAATCTTTTTGTTGTTCATATCTAAAAAAATTCACAAACACTAATATATATAAGTCTGTCCTGCCTTCTTACAGTGGCTGACAGTCATTAAGGATATTAACTATGTACATAATTTCATTCTTCTATTTATGCATACCCAACTTTTCTCAGCATCATCTACGGAACATATTGTTCTTTCTTCTGCAAGAATGATCAGTGCTCTTAACAGCTGAGCCAGCTCTGCAGCCTCAAGAATCCTTGACTTAGAGAGTAAGGCAACATGGTTCCTGATGTGAGACAGATTTGGCTTGTTTTTGTTGTTCTTTGGTTTTCGAAACAGGGTTTCTCTGTGTATCTCCGCTGTCCTAGAAGTTGCTCTGTAGACAAGGCTGGTTTAGAACTCAAGAGATCCGCCTGCCTCTGCCTCCTGAGTGCTGAGATTAAAGAGATGCACCCCCATACTAGACTAAGATAAATCCCATTTAATTATGGTGAATAATAATTATGTGTTGTTTAATTCAGTTTGTTATTACTTTCTTGAGAATAACAAGAAAATTTTGTTACTAGCCTATAATAGTAGAGTTTCTCTTTTGTTTTCATATCAGAGTAATTATTGACTCATAAAAATAGTTTGGAAATCATCAAAATTTTGGATCGAGCTTGGAAAATATTATTATTAGTTCTTCAAATGTTTAGTGGATTTCAGGAATGAAGACATTAAGTCTGGGCTTTACCTGACAAGAGAATGAATTACTGCTTTAACATCTTGTGTCAGCAAAACCTTCTTAACCATGGCCTTTAGTAATAGTATGTAAATGCAAAATGCTCTAACGCTAAAAGTGTACTGTACACACCACTAACAATAGTCTGTCCTGGCTATTCAGCTAATATTCAATCTAAAATATTACTCATTAGAGACTACTTAAGAAGTCTCTGAAAATTACAATCACTATGAAGTTTCTAAGCTCAGCTGGACACTCAGTGCATGAAACTTTGAACATTTAGTCTGCTTTTTTACCCCAACCCTTTCCTAGCTTTTTTAAGTTTTTAGTATATTCAATCCCAACTCAATTATTCTAATTACAGTGTTACACAGAATACCATTAAAATTTTTTTATAAAAAGATACATGGGAAACTGGCAGTAGTGGTGCACACCTTTAACCCCAGCACTCGGTAGGCAGAGGCAGGTCAATCTCTGAGATTGAGGCCAGTTTTGTCTACAAAGTGAGTTGGGGTAGCCGGGGCTACACAAAGAAACCCTGTCTCAATGAAAAAAAAAAAAAAGAGAAACCCTGTCTCAATGAAAAAAAAAGGGGGGGGGTTTACATGGGGAAGGCAGTTCTTCAGTTCCTGCCATACTTGCAGCTATCTAGGTATAGATAATTTGTAAAATAAAAATAAATTTGTTCTCTTTTTAAGAATAAAATCAACAAAAAAAAGCTACTTGGTTACTAAACTATATTTAAAATACCACCTCACATCCATTAGGATGACTACTACTCCCCCAAGAAATTTTTATACACTAGCCAAGTTGTAGAAAAATTATAATGCTTTTATTGTAGGTAATGTAAATAAAATGGTATAGCTACTGCTTAAAACAGTATGGTATGTTCTCAAAATATTAAACATAATTACCATGATATAATAATTACATTTCAGATATAGACCCAAAAGTACTTTGGACAAGGTCTCAAAGAACTGACCCATGCTTATAGCAACATTATTTGCAATTGCTAACATAGAAATAACCCATTAGCAGATAAATAGATGGACAGAATACAGCATATAGAAGCAAGTGAAATTATTCAGTGTAATAGGAATTTCTAGTATTTTGATACACATGAATGAACTTTGAGGATGCTATGCTTAGTTTAAAAAAAAAAAGCCAATCATTAAAATTAAAAAAAAGCTGTCGTGACTGCACTTACTTGAGGTAGTTAGAAGCACCAAAACTCAGACAAAAAGCAGAATTGTAATTGCCAGTCACAATGGGAACAAGAAGTCACTATTTAATGCATACAAAGTCTCAGCATTGTAAAATACAACAGTTCTGATGATAAATGCTCAAAAGCATTAATGGCCACAATATCACTGAATTGTATACTTTAAAACAGCAAATAGTAAATTTTCTACATTTATAATTGTTTTAAAGTTACCAGAGAAATTACATGGTCATATAAATTTAAAAAATATATTTCATAGTCATTTCTTGGAATTCACAATGTACATAAGCATTTAAAATGATGTAATCTGCTTTCAGTAAAGAAAACCTTGACTTTTTCAACCACATTCTTCTTTTTCTTTTTTTCCTGGTTTTTCAAGACAAGGTTTCTCTGTGTAGTTTTGGTGCCTGTCCTGGATCTCGCTCTCTAGACCAGGCTGGCCTCGAACTCAGAGAGATCCGCTTGGCTCTGCCTCCTGAGTGCTGGGATTAAAGGTGTGTGCCACCATTGCCCGGCCTCAACCACATTCTTAAACACAGCTCCACATACCTACCTTTACCTCCTAATTTCAGAAGATAGGGATGTGTGTATTATGCATTTGTGCAGGTATATTAACACATGTGTGGGGGTTATATGTAGAAGTCAAAGGCTGACACCTAGTGTCTTTATCAATTGTTCTTTATTTGCTGAGGAACTCTCTCACTATACTCAGAGCTTGCCAATTCTGCCAACCTAGCAGCCATCTTGCCTCCTACTCCAGTCTTCGTACTTGCAGGGCAGGTGCGATATTCACCAAGTCACTGCCACAGTCTCTTGCCTGAACCCTTGTAATGATGATTCTTATCTTCATTTTTCATTCCTCATTGCCAAATTTTGAAATGGTCTCAATTCCTTAATCTTCCCTGTACTCAAGTGTCCTGCTTCAGAATCTTGCCCATGACTGCCTAGAAAACTAGTCAAACTTCCAGCTACTTAATTCCCAGTAACATTTCAACACTAAACTAGTTTTACCTAGTTATGCCAATTTTCCTACTATCTGCACTAGATTTCCTACTATCTGCACTATTGCAAAGTTTGGTACTCCTCTTTATTCCTACTGTAACCCAACTACGATTCTATCTCAATAATTAAAAATACCTGTTTATGCTCTTTCAGATGGTAGGAACTAATTCTCAGGCATCTTTATATCTAAAACACAGGAACTGATGACTTATATTTAGAGTAAACAGAGGTCATATTTAAACAGTCATCATTAGTTATAAATTAGTCAATAGCAGGCACTAAAATGGCTGAGCCTTCCTATCATTTCCCTATTTACCCACAACTGGTAAGGACACAAAAACATAAGAATTGAGAATCACATATGCAATTATCTACTTCCCATTGGACATATAATGGTTTGCAGAGGATGGAAGTATTTGGTAAGGGGAGAAGTAGATATTTTCTAATCTCTAGATAAAATATTAAGTTTTTTCTTTTTTTAATTTTATTTTATTGATTTATTTATTGTTTTACTTTAAGCCTGGAAGTATTTTCAAATAAAGCAGTGTAGGGCAACTTAAAACACACATAGCCTGAACCAAGTTATACTTACATTCGGCTAGCTTCAATGTCCTCAGACTGGGATTCTCCTGGTGATCTGTAAAATGTAATTAAGGACAAAGGTTAGTGAATTCCAAAAAGGGGTAGAAATGTAAGTAGGGAAGATAAATTTGAAAGCAAGACTTAAGTTCTAATGAAAGGGTATTTTAAAAGATTTAAAAATGAGAAAACAAAACGGTTAGATCAAATCAGTCATAACACATTTAAGGACAAACTTTAAAAGCCTTGATGCTTTTTTAAAAAAAAGAAATTGGAATCATTAATATTAGATATCAGATCACTGTAAACCATAATGATTTACAAAGTCAAGCATCTATGAAAAACAAAACTGTAACTTTCTATCAAGTTGGGTTGCCTGCATTTACAAATAGGTATTCATTGTCTTGAAATTAAATGACGTGTTAGCAAACTGTAACCTGGGCAAACACACCAAGGTATGGAATAAACACCTGATTTTGGAAGTAATGTTTTACTGAGACAGTCACATGTATTTAAACACTGTATATGTATACTGAAAAAGCAAGGTTAAGTACTTTCAGGAAAGACCAGGTTTTCCTCAAAACCTAAACTATTACACAACTCCCTTAAACATTATCTGCCAGCTTCTGCTCTAGACAATTCAAACTAAAATATAATAGTGTATGTAAATCTTAAAATATTTAAATTCTATGTACCATTCTAATCATAATTACTGTGGTCCAACAAGGAAATTAGATTTCTCTAAAAAACATTTATTTGTCATCAGTATGTACAATGAGTATTATATTTGTTAGATAATTGTAAGCTAGTTTTAGCTTTGATAGCTGCTGGTTATTTTATTTTTAATATATTAGCTAATATAGAAAATGCATACATCTAAAGCATCAAAAAGCATCCCATTTTTATTGGGTTGGAACATAAGGCAATTTTCCCTATACCTAGTACATGGTTAAAGAATGAATTCCAGAGTGGACACAGCAGCACTTTCCTATAATTCCTGTACTCAGAGGGTAATCCAGGATCATACATATTTTGGAGTCAGCCTGGACTAATAGTGAAAAAATCTGTTACTCTGTTAGTTTTTATAAATCATTAAAGTGTGAGAGTCAATGTTCTAAGATGAACTGATTTTAATACCTATTTATAACATTTCAAATTCCCAAAATGGGTTAGAAAAAAAAATAAAAGATTAAGTTAAAATTTTCAAATTGGTATACAAAGACTTGATTTGTGAATTGTCACTGACTTCAGACTTTACAACTTAAACAAAAACCGTTTATAAAACAGTTTATTTTGGCTCACTGTTATGGAAGTAATTTTTAACAAAGAACCTTAAGGGGCTGGAGAGGTGGTTCACTGGTTAAGAGCACTGGCTGCTCCCAGAGAATTAAGGTTTAACTCCAAGCACCCACACAGTTGCTCTCAACCATCTTTAACTCCAGTCCCAGCCCTGGTGCCCTCTTCTGGCCTCTGTGGGCACCAGGCACACATGTGGTACACGTACATACCTGTAAGCAAAACACTCATACACTTAAAATAAAGAAGTGAAATTTAAAATAAAAAAAGAATCTTAAAGATTACTGTATTCATTTCTTTAGTGTCAAAAAATTCACTTCTTTGCTAGATCTTCAAAACAACAGTCACTGCAATTCATTTAGATTCCAAATTAGTAACACACACACACACACACACACACACACACACACACACACACACACACACACAGAGAGAGAGAGAGAGAGAGAGAGAGAGAGAGAGAGAGAGAGAGAGAGAGAGAGAGAATAAAAGGCATACTTAATTAAAAACAGACCCAAAGCTCAAATATTTTAGATTTTCTTAACAGTGTATTTATATTTTCTGTTTAACACAAAAATACATAGGAACTGAAAATTGGGGCTTGGTAGTGACAATAAATGCAACACTTTTCCACCCTCTTCCCCCCAGGGAACAAGCAAATCATCTGGGTCATACTGGTTTCCACCAGCCTTAAATAAATACTCCAAGATTATTCTCAAACTTACATCCCATACAAAAGGACTAGAAGAGCTAAAATATGATGATAACCCATATGTACTAGCTAAGTCATTTTTTAATGTGCCCCTCCAATATTCATCATTAGACTGTGAGGTAAAGCTGGCTTTAAAAAAAAAAAAAAAAAAAAAAAGGAAACCTGTAAACAATGAGAAAGACAAATTACAAACTTTTAAACAGGTTTTAGAAAGCAAAATGTTCAAACAGGGAAAGGGAAAAGTTTAGGGAATGATGATGGAAAAAATATTGGAAAAATGTAAGACAAGAGGGAAAAAAACACATCTCAGGAAACATTATAGAACTATTGCTTCAAGATCCTAAAATGGGATATAGAGCAAATATATCTACAAATGGCCAACTATAACTGTTTTCCCAAATTCTGTTCCCTAAACAGAGGATGTGAACAGCAGAATCATAATGCCAATAAAGTATTGTATATATACGATTTAATGTTTACATATATTAGAACCAGCTATTAAACACTATTAAGCCAAACTAACAACCTAAAACAACCCAATCCAGCAAACAGAGAAAAAAAGGATTCAAAGATTATTATCCTAAAATTATTTTCTCTCGGTCTCTTAGACATAGCATAGGCTGCTTTCATTCAAACTGCAGTTTTATTTTAGTCAAAAGAAAAGTAAATATACAAAACAGAAATATGTTATTGATAATTATTGTGTACATCTGAATAATGTCTACTCTCAGACTACTTCAACAATATTTTAAGTTACTAAAATATACCCTAAAACTAGAATTAATTCTCAAAACTATGAGTATATATAACACCTACTAACAGTTCCAAAGCTGTACTTTGGTTCTTAAAGAGCTTATGGTTTCTTTACTACCAATGCACTGGAAATAAGAATACAGTACAAGCTCCTAATTTTACCAAATTCAAAATTTAAAACCAAAGTTAAAAAAAAAAAAAAAAAAAAACTGCTGACCCAAGTTATCCTGAAGTTTGCCCAAATAAAAAATAAATAAATAAATGAAATTAGAAAACTGAAACATACCTAGTAACGCTGAATAGTCTTAAAAGCATCAATTTTAGCTATTAACCTGAATGACAGAAAATGTGATCACAAAACACCCACTAATCTGAACAGTGCAACATGAGCTTGCAAATCTAACCTTTTAAGGATGTAAAGCTGCACTTTTAACTCCACTGTAACTCTTGAGGAGAAAAAGTAGACTAGTTTTACTAAAGGTACAACACTTGTAGGGAGGCATTTAAACTTCTACCACAAAAGAAGGTTCACTTAAAAACACTAATCAAAGCATTTTCCATGTATTTCTTAAAATCTCTACAATGTAATCTTCTTTTTTGAGAAACACTTTCTTATTTAGCTATATAGAAAAACAGATCTTTGATGACTACTTATCTTCATGAATGGAAGGGCAGGAAAGAAATTCACTATAATAAACATCTTAGAAAGGAAATTAAATGGAGAAATAGCTCAATTCTTAGTCCTCTATTCTTAGCAGTATTCCTGCCACCTATGCATTTTCTTCATTTTTACAGTACATATTTCACTTTATAATGACAGCCTTTTAAAGACTGTAAAATAACATTCAAAATTACCTTTTACAAGCTGTGGCCATTCGGTGACATCAGGGTGATAACAGCTTTGAGTCACTGATTAAAAACAGGTTGTCACACCAGTCTAGCTGCTAACTTGATCTGAACGTAGGCTTAATAATTCTAATAAATTAAACAAACCTTTAGTTAGAACACTAGCATAAACCCAATTCATTGTTCAAATCATAATCTTCAAAGCTTCAAATCAGTTGTCAATATAAAATTAGAAAAATTACCATAGGAAAACCTTTATGGACTATTTTCCAGTATATTGTTTTCTTAAACGATCTCATCACTTGAAAAAATGAGGAACGTTCTCAATCCAAAACTTAAAAATGCTCCAAAAATCCAGAAAATTTTAAATATCATGTCAGCAACTCAAAAAGGTTTAGATTTAGGGATATTTCAGATTTTGCATTTTCAGATTCAGATTAGATATGCTTAACCAGTAAAGTCTATAGAAACATGCCAAAATCTAAAAAAATTCTTAAATCTGAAACAAATCTGGTCCCAAGCATTTCTGATAAAGATAATAATCCCTATTTTTCAATGTTTATATGGTTTACAAAGTACAATGATCAACAATACCCTTATGTTTGACTGACTTTAGTTAGCTCTACGTGATCAAAACACTATCAAGACACTATAAGAATAATAATAAGCAGCCTCAGAGTGATTAACCAACTTGCCCAAGATTTTACAACTAGTGTTGAAAGTAATATTAAAACCATGACTGACTAACCTTCTACTGATTATTAAAATTTTGCTATGGCTTAGTTTTGCTTTAGAGACTTTTGAGATATAAATAAGCAAAGATTTAGAATATGGATTATGGCAATAGTTAAAATGAGACTGATTTAATAACAGGAGTCTTAAATGGATAGAGAAATCATCTACCAAAAAGGCAAATTCTTGATGAAATAGTTGCACACACACACATATTCTGTATTTAAGTAGAATCATCTAAAATTAACTTAAAAGGGTTGTATAAGAAAGTGTTCATTCTCAATCCCATTAGACTCAATTCTATGAAATAATATGGCAAAATATGAATGTACACCCTTATTCTTCAAGTACCTTAACTCACATACAAAATTTTAACCAAATTTTTCTGATTCAAATTACATAGTACTCCTTAATCATACTATAATTCTGTCAAAATGCCTTATGTCAGGAATATATCAGTACTGAGAAATCATTTTATCCAGTTAGTTTTTCCCACAAACATCTTTCATTGATCCATACACACAGAACAAATTTCAATGAACTAAAGAAAAGAAGTATAAGATTAGTAAGGGGAAAGCCCCTTCACAATTAACATCCTCAGACAGCAATACAAACGAGGTGACTAAAAGCCTGAATCAGAACCCAATTTAAAATAGGAAGGTATCTGAGAATCTCAAAGGAATTATTGAAACATCGATGTTTGAGCCCATATTTTTGCTAGTGTTGGCCTGAGTATATACATAAGCAACTTTAGGGGATTCCAATAAGTAGCATTTATAATCTCTGTAAGAAATAACTCAATTTCCCAGATTTTCCTATCAGAACTATGTCTCCTAATAACAACAAAGGCATCACTGAGATAGCAAGGGACAGAGGAAACATCCTTAAAATGCATGAGACAGTTCCCTTATGTTTCTCATGAGACTAATAGCTTATGTGGATTGAGAATATTCAAATGAACCTAACTTCCCACTTAAAAACACAAAAATGGCAAAAGTGAAAGTAAAATTGATCAATTCGTTAAAGAACTACACACACTCTAAAAATTAAGTCAAGCACTCTCTTTTAATCTTTTCCTTTTTTATGAGGTAGAGTGCTCAGCTGAACACTGGTTCCAAAGCCAATCTGAGATTCCACTCTCTGCTTGATCACTTAGGACCTGGGAAATCTTGGGCAAGTTAGATCACCTCTCTAAACCCCAGTTACCTTACAGATAGAATTAAGACCATAGTATGCCTTGTATATAATATGCCTGCAAATAAATCAGATTCTTCACACCCACAGTCTAACAGCCAAATCTATTTCCTAGATCTTCTTGTCCATATTACTTTATGTCTCTTAGTACAGTAATCTCTTATACATTCTTTCAGCACCCCACTTATATCTCTCAGTCTACCTGGTAGCATACTCACCACTTAACATGATCCTTTAAAAATGACAGGCGCTCAAATTTATTGAACGCATTATGGCATTATGCTAGCCATGACATTAAGATAATTCATGCAATATGAATTTCAAAAAATAAAACAGAAACATACCATATTTCAGCAAACTTCTGAGGAGCTGGTGAATTCTAAAATCAGGCTCTTACAGATTTTTAACCTAAAATATAAAACACCTCACTCAATTCTTTTAACATAAACAACTGGATAGTCTTTCAGAAAAAAAATGAAATTAATTTGTTATAAAATAAAAGCAAATCCATCTTTAATAATACTTATAAAAATCCAAAAAATATACTGAAAGACAAATTACCCTACTCCTGTTACCAAGATAAGTAGCAGGGTAGCTAAGCAGGCTGTGATCCAAATATTTTCATCTGGGAAAGCATGTTTCCCATTTTCATGTACAAAGATTAACGCTCCTCATTTCCTTAGCCTCCTTACAAATAAGATGAAAATTATGAAAATTGTCACATACCTCAAATCCCTCCAGAAAACTATGGTAATTCTGCTTTCAGATAAACTCTATATGCAAAACATCTGCTGTACAAAAACATAGATGCTTATCTACTTACTACCTCTCAGAGTTGTAACCATGGCTAAATCCTATGACCTCTCAGTCTCTCAAGTGTTAAGTGGTTGAATTAAAGAAAATGTACTGAAAGAATATAGATGCCTTCCTGGCACATAACGGGGTCACATTACACTGTAACATTACTTAAGTAAAGTACTCCATATATATCATAAATCTTTACAAATAAAAAACAACAAAAACACCCAACTTAATATCACCATGCACAAAACTAAAGTCTATGTGGATCAAAGACCTCAACATAAATCCAGTTACACTGAACCTGATAGAAGAGAAAGTGGGAAGTAGCCTTGAACGCATTGGAACAGGAGACCACTTCCTAAATATAACACCAGTAGCGCAGACACTGAGAGCAACAATTAATAAATGGGACCTCCTGAAACTAAGGAGCTTCTATAAGTAAAGGACACAGTCAATAAGACAGAACAGCAGCCAACCCCACATCTGACAGAGGGCTATCTCCAAAATATATAAAGAATTCAAGAAACTAGACATCAAAATACCAAATAATCCAATTAAAAAATTGGGTACAGTTCTAAACAGAAAATTTTCAACAGAAGAATCTCAAATGGCCAAAAGACATTTAAGGAACTGCTCAACTTCCTTAGCCATCAGGGAAATGCAAATAAAAACGACTCTGAGATACCATCTTACACCTGTCAGATGTAAGATTTTGATCAAAAACACTGATAACAGCTTATATTGGCAAGGAAGTGGAGTAAGGGGAACACTCCTCTACTGTTGGTGGGAGTTGTACAGCCACTTCAGAAATGAGTAAGGCGGTTTCTCAGAAAATTGGGAATTAATCTACCTCAAGACCCAGACATAACATTCTTGGGAATATACCCAAAGGATGTTCAATCATTCCACATGGACACTTGCTCAACTATGATCATAGCAGCACTGTTTGTAATAGCTAGAACCTGGAAATAACCTAGATGCCCCTCAACCAAAGAATGGATAAAGAAAATGTGGTACATTTACATAATGGGGTATTACTCAGCGGTAAAAAAAAAAAAAATGACATCATGAAATTTGCAGGCAAATGGATGGAACTAGAAAAAAATCATCCTGAGTGAAGCAACTCAGACCCAGAAGGACAAACATGGCATGTACTCACTCATAAGTGGATACGAGAGGTAAAGCAAAGGATAACCAGGCTACATTCCACAACCCCAGAGAAGCTAAGTAACAAGGATGACCCTAAGAGAGACAAGCATGCATCACCCTAGGAAGAAGAAATAGATAAGATCTCCTGGGTAAACTGTGTGTGAGGGAGAGAGGATGGGGGATGAAAACATGAGGGAACCGATGGTGGAGTTGGGGAAGGGAGGGATGGGAGAGCAATGAAGGAGTTATTTTGATAGAGAGAGCCATTATGGGGTTAGGGAGAAACCTGGTGCTAGAGAAATTCCCAGGAATCCACAAGGAGGACCCCAGCTAAGACTCCTAGCAATAGTGAAGAGGGTGCCTGAATTAATGGTCATCATAGAACCTTCATCCAGTAACTGATGGAAGCAGATGCAGAGATCCACAAACAAGCACTGGGCTGAGCTACTGGAGTCCAGTTGAAGAGAGGGAGGAGGGATTATATAAGTAAGGCGGGGTCAAGATCATGATGGGGAAACCCAGAGACAGCTGACCCAAGCTAGTGGGAGCTCATGAACTCTGGACTGAAAGTTGGGGAGCCTGCATGGGACCAAACTAGGCCCTCTGAATGTGGGCAACAGTTGTGTGGCTTGTTTTGTTTATGGGGCCCCTCACAGTGGGACGAGGATTTATCCCTGATGCATGAACTGGCTTTTTGGAGCCCATTCCCTAGGGTAGGATACCTTGCTCAGCCTTGATGTAGAGGGGAAGGACTCGGTCCTGCCTCAATTTGATATGCCAGACTTTGTTGACTCCCCATGGAAAGCCTTACCCTCTCTGAGGAGTGGATGGAAATGGGGGACATAAGAGGAATGAGGTGAGGGAGAAAGAACAGTGGTTGGTATGTAAAATGAAAAAAAAATCAAGAAATAAAATAATAAAAATAATAAAAAAAGAAAAATGTACTTAGGCTTCCCTGCAGTGTTTCTGATTCAGTGCAATAAGAATGCATGAATTTGTATTTTTAACACATTCTAAGTGATCTTAATATCATAACCATATATATTTAACATCTTATCTCTAGCATTATAACCTCCAACTCCCAATTATCAAAGGTATAACACCATTTCAGTAAGTCAGCATCTAAAGTAATTTAAAATTAAAAATAATAATCTCAATTATCCCCCATAACACCCCAAAAAGCAAAACAAAAAACAAAAAACAAAAAACAAAAAAAACCACTCCACTCTATATATCTATATATCACCAATCTCATTGTCCTAAGGGGGAGAAAAATCTTGTGCCATCACGTTCCGCTATTTCTATTTAACCTAACCACTATAAGTCTTCAAATTCTTCATTCAAAACATATCAGTTAGATTTTGATTGTATACTGGTAGCTGAAAACATCATAGTAAAGAAATTATACATGATTTCTTATGTTGTGGGCGAGATGAGGATAAATTTAAAAAAAAACACAATAAATAATTACAATTCAAAGTAAAAGCTATGAAGGAGATTCACAGACAGTGATGCTATTATAATAGAATCCTGACTTAACAGGGGAAAAAGAAAGTCTATCCAAGAGCTTAGATTTATCACAGACTAAGTAAATCCTGTGACATACTGGTAGGATTCACAGGCCAATAACTCAAATCAGAAAATTTAAATAAGACTATAGAATCTCTCCTCCCAAGTAAAATATATTTCTCACTGCTACAAATTCTACCTCTGGAATTCCCCCACAATCCAACACTATCCCTAAGAATTCTTTTGACGGGATTTAGTTGCTTTCAGAACAAAGTTTAATCTCTCTATCACAACATTTAAGACTATGTAATCAAACCTTGCTAGCACAGCTTCTTCTTCCTGACTAGATGAAACATTAAGAGTATGTCAATCATTCATTTTTATACTTCCAATCCTTAAAAATGTTTAAAGAATAAAATAGCTCATAAAAGAGAAAACTTGGGTGGCTTGCTATACATAGTACATAAATACAAGGCTAAGATTCAAACGTAAATCTGATTCTAAAGACTATCTATGGCTATTTCTTTAGAAAAACATTCTAACTTATATTCAGGCCTGGAAATGTTAACTTTAAATTGTTTCTTAATATTTCCTCTTTAAAGAATCTACTGATTCTTTTCCCTACATCGTTACCAAGATTGTTGTGATACAGAGCTTTATTATTTTACTAGTTTCTTTCTCATATATTTTGACAGAATTATCTTCCTAGAAATTAGAATTTGATCATCTCTCATATTAAAAATTCCTATGCCTTCTCAATGCCAACAACATAAATTTCAAACATTTTTTTCATATTAACTGAGATCCTTGTCACATGGCCACACCCAGTCATCCAAATGTTACCCTGACATCCTGAGATATCAACCTCCTTGGGTTATTGCACTCTTTAGAAGTCCCTATTTCTGATCTCAATAATTTTGCTTTTCACGACATTTCTCTAGAAATATTTCCCTTTGCCCTGCCATTTCCATCCCTTATTCACCTATAAAAGCTTATTTAAAAAAAACTATTATTTCTAAACCTTTAGAGCACCCCAAATGAACAATGACAATTAAAAAGACTGGAAGTAATAACAGCAACAATAATAGGGAAATCAGAACCTTCACATGTTACTAGTAAATTTATTTTTTAAAAAATATAGCCACTTTGAGAAGCATTTAAAAGTGTCTCTAATTTTAAATAATTACCCGATGGCCCAGCCAATTCACACCTACATAGATACTCAAGAGATGTATAGTTACAACAAAAGCTGTAGACATATATTCACAACAACACTAACAACCAAAATTGGAAGCAACCCAAATACCTATCAGGTGATGACTGAACAGACAGATAATCAAGCATAAACAATGAAGTACTATTATATGCTACATGAACGAACATGAATGAACCTTAATAATGGTATTATGTCAAGAAATAAATACACCACACACAAAAGGATATCGTTTAATTCCCCAAAGGAACTTGATAAATTGGTTTCATAGTATTGTGAAGAATAGAGGTCCAAGAAGAGCTAAGACAAATCCAAAATTAAGTAGGGAGCCTTGGAATCCCAGTTTTCAAAGCTGTATATGAAGTTATTACAAATAAAATCAATGATGGAAAAAAAAACCCTAAAGCAAATCAAATGAAGAAGCATAAGGGAGATGATACAAGTGACATTTTTAAAAATTGGAGAAAAATTTAACTCAATGTTAGGACCACTAGCTTTTCATATTCATTTTTTTTAAAGGATTCCTCTTAGATGGACCAAAATAAATTATCCATACCAAAAACCCTCAACTAATAACAGACACTATCACAAGCAATTTCACTTTTTAAAATTGTAAAGAATCATGACTTTAACCTTAGAAATTGAGACTAAGATTGTATACCAGGAGAGAATGCTACAGTGGACATAACATTCTATTTTATTCTTATTCTGAAAGCATTTCTCAACTGCACTCTAA